CGATCAGCTTGCTCTCTGTAGTATACAAGCTATTTACAAAGGTAATTGCTCACAGAGTAAAGAAAACATTAGAATTCAATAAACCAAAGGAACAAGCAGGATTTCGAACAGGCTACTCAACTATTGACCGCATTAATACTATCAATCAGGTAATAGAGAAATGCTCAGAATATAACCAACCAATATACACAGCCTTCATAGATTACGAGAAGGCATTTGATTCAGTAGAAATATCAGCCGTCATGCAGACACTGCGGAATCAGGGCATCGATGAAGTATATATAAACATCCTGGAAGAAATCTACAGGGGATCAACTGCTGTCATAGTGCTTCATAAAGAAAGCGACAGAATACCAATCAAGAAGGGTGTAAGGCAGGGGGACACAATCTTCCCACTGCTATTTACTGCGTGCTTACAGGAGGTTTTCAGAAGCCTAGAATGGGAACAGTTAGGGATCAGAGTTAATGGAGGGTACCTTAGTAACCTGCACTTCGCCGATGACATTGCATTGCTGAGTAACTCAGGGGACGAATTGGAACTCATGATTATGGAGTTAGACAAGGAGAGCAGAAAGGTGGATCTTAAAATAATCTGCAGAAAACGATAGTAATGTACAACAACCTCGGAAGAGAACAGCGCTTCGAAATAGGTAATAGTGCACTTCAAGTTGTAAACGACTATGTCTACTTAGGACAGGTAATAACCGCGGAGCCGAACCACGAGATTGAAGTAACTAGAAGAATAAAAATGGGGTGGAGCACATTTGGCAAGCACTCTGAAATTATGACAGGTAGATTACCAATATCCTTCAAGAGGAAGGCATATAACAGCTGTATGTTGCCGGTACTTAGCTACGGAGCAGAAACCTGGAGACTTACAAAGAGGGATCAGCTTAAATTGAGGACGACGCAGCGAGCAATGGAAAGAAAAATGGTAGGTGTAACCTTAAGAGACAAGAAGAGAGCAGAGTGGATTAGGGAACAAACGGGGGTTAAGGATATCATAGTTGAAATCAAGAAGAGAAAATAGACATGGGCCGGGCATGTAGCGCGTAAACAGGATAACCGCTGGTCATTAAGGGTAACTAACTGGATTCCCAGAGAAGGCAAGCGAGTTAGGGGGAGACAGAAGGTTAGGGGGGCAGATGAGATTAAGAAGTTTGCGGGTATAAATTGGCAGCAGCAAGCACAGGATCGGGTTAACTGGCGGAACATGGGAGAGGCCTTTGTCCTGCAGTGGACGTAGTCGGGCTGATGATGATGAATGTCAAGATGTACCCATGTCAAGATGTACCCATTGTCAAGATTGCTGTTCGCAAAATTCCCAAAACCATATCTATTAAAGATTATTCGAGAGCTGATGACGCCAGCATCGTTGACTACATGGAAACCTGTCTTACGGGCTTTGCTGATAGTGGCGGTGAAGTGAGTGCTCTGTGGGCAACCTTTACTACAATGTGCAAGCATTGCATAGATACATTCATACCTACTAAATCTAAAAAAAGTCGATAAAAGTATGCCATGGATGACGCGTGGCATGATTCAATTGAAGCACAAAATCAAACGAATAAAGAATAAACATGCACGTACGGGGATTATTAGTGCGCGTATAGATGTTATCAGTGAACTACAAGACAAGCTAGCATGTGCTGTACGTGATTCGAAAGACCTATATTTCACTGCAACATTGCCGGACTTTATAAAGAACGCGCCGGATAAGTTTTGGGAATACCTAGGCGAAAGCAAGAAGTCTGTCACGGAAATCACAATTAATGGAACCATTATTAACAACTTCAATACTATCGCACAACATTTTAATGATTATTTTCATAGCGTATTTACCAGTGGTAGTTCAGGGTTATCTTTAGACTCTGTAGTGTTTCAACGCCATGAGGCGAACTTCATCTCATACCATGGCATTGTGTCTATGTTGTTAAACTTAAAAACCAAAACAACTCCTGGCCCTGACGACATCCCAAATGTGTTCCTTAGGCGATACGCCAAAACGATTGCTAAATTCTTGGTTGTGTTATTCAGAGAATCTTTGCTATGTGCAAAAGTACCTAGTGATTGGAGGATGGCTCGAGTTGTCCCAGTCTTTAAGAAAGGCGATCGATCGTTAATACAGAATTACCGTCCCATATCACTGACGTCATCATACAGCAAAATTTTCTAGCACATAATCGCAAGTCGCATTAATGAATTCTTAGAAGAAAAGTCGATGCTAACCACTTGTAAACATGGCTTCAGAAAAGGCTGCTCGACTATCACACAATTAGTTATAGTAATCGATTCATTTACTAAAGCTTTGGATGCTAACGGTAAAATTGATGCTGTATTTTTGAATTTTAGTAAAGCTTTCGAGAGGGTCATTCACGAAAAATTAATTCTAAAGCTAAGAAACATTAAGCTTCTTGATATCTTAATTTCCTGGATCGCAGACTATCTGAATAACCGTAAACAGTATGTTTCAGTTGATGGACACAACTCGGGCTGTCTACCAGTTACTTCAGGTGTGCCCCAGGGCAGTGTCTTGGGTCAATTACTCTTTCTTTTATATATTAATGACATCATCACCGTCGTCACACCTGGAACACAAATAAGACTGTTTGCAGATGACTGCATTGTGTTTCGTACAATTAAATTTGTGGATGATCAGAAGGAACTAGATTTCAGCTTGAATAACATATCCTTGTGGTGCGAAAAATGGGGTATGACTGCAAATACCAACAAAACAGTCCCTCTTCACATAACGCATAAAAATAATCCCCTCGATCACGTGTACAAAATGGGGTCTGTCCCATTAAAACAAGTTGATAGCTATATATACCTTGGCGTAACCTTCACTGCCAATTTACCTTGGAACCTTCATGTTGAGAACACATGCTCTGCTGCATTCCGCAAACTAGCTTACCTGCGACACAAACTTAGAAATTCTCTTTCAAACGTTAAGTTACTCTCCTACCTAACCTACATCCGCCCAAAACTAGAATATGCCTGCGTAGCATGGGACCCATATACTAAGCTCAATATCAACAAACTTGAGAGAATACAAAGAAAACCGGTTCGTTTTATTTATTCTAAATACAAACGTTCGGACTCCCCGTCACAGCTAATGTTAACTAATGAGATTCCTTCTCTTGAATCAAGAAGACAGAAGTACCACTTGGATTTTTTACATTATCTAATTGACCACAAATTCACCCTCAACTCTTCGCTTTATGTAAGCCCTCTTTCCACAAGGCAAACACGGCACCATCACTCTGATGCATTAACACCTATCTATGCTAGGACAGACACGTATAAGTTTTCCTTTTTTTCCATGGACCATTTCAGAATGGAATTCTCTGCCCGCACCGTAGAACTTGTGACGATGGGTGACATGTACTTTTCTGTACCTTTTTTGTATGTGCATTCTATCACAATTTTGTTAAGTTCTTTTGAATATGTTTGTATAGGCATTTATATATTAGTGTGTATGTATATGTGTATGTATATGTGTGTGTATATGTATGTGTATATATGTGTGTATATATGTATATATATATGTATATATTTGTGTATATATAATGTATATATATGTGTATGTGTGTGTGTATATGAGTATGTATATGGATATATATTTGTATGTTTATTTGTGTATGTATATCCATATGTATGTTTTTAGTTTTGTGTACAATTATGTATGCCCGTCCTGCAAGGACCACGACGTGGTCTGCAGTATGTACTAAATAAATAAAAATAAAAATGATGATGAAAGTTACCTGAGACACGCTGTATATTTCGTGTACTTCCTTCAATAAACTGAGTTGGGAGTTAGCACCTGTTTGTCATCTCGCCTTTCGTTTTTTCGTCTATTGTGTGCATGTCAAAATGTTTCCAAGAATGTGCTCAAACCAACTCACCCAACTTTCCATACTATTGCAGAATGAATATTATATACCTTTATAGACCTGACTAAAGAATGTCTCAGTGTGCTTGAATTTACATGGCTTCATTTCTCTACTTTTTAAATCCAACAAACATAGTTTCTATGCAACAAATTTTTCCTTTGATTTTATATCAGCTCTATATGAACTGTGGCAAAAACAGTGGACTTATTCAGACTACGTGGTACATACAAATGCAGCTAGTTAAAGCTGGCAATTCACTTTTGGTACACTTTCACGAGACTCAAACAAAACAGATCTGTTCCACTCACATAATTTAGAACATCCTGACCTGCAGAGTTTTAACAACATCGCGCGACTGCCAACAGGCCGGCGTGTCATTGACTCCCTTATCTCTGCACGAAGCGGCAAAAATAAGCATGTGCCGACAACATTGTGGGGAAGTATGTTATGCGTTGCTTTATTGATCTGCGGTTGATTTTTCATGCATACTGCTTTGATGAATTCATTGATGCACCAGTCAAGCTTTTGCAAGGTGTCTCTGGAAAACACCAAAGTAAGCATCATCATCATAATCATGATTGGGATAATTTGGCATTTTATTTGCTCTAAGATTTTTGCAGGTGAAGTCAAGAACGTCTCATTACACAATGTGCCCCCCCCCTCCACACACACTCCAACTATGAAATCTCATGACCTTCGTCAAAATTTCACCCCCCCCCAGACAAATCCTGGGTGTGCTACTGTCTCATACCAAGACTGTACAAGCCAAACTCTATAATGTTTTAGTACATTCGGATTGTACGTTTTCTTCCCATGTCGTTGTGGAATACATATGAAGGAGGTTCTACTTTATATGGTGGTCACAGCTCCAAGACTGAAGAAGAAATGTTTGTCAGGTGTCGAAAGATTTGGGATGAGTACGCATATGTACTTAAAGCCACTAGTGACAAACACAGCGTGCGAAGTTTGTGTTAGTTTACTATGCTAAATAAGCAAGATGAATTCAGCAGGTCGTGGAATAGCCTCGGTAATTTTCTAGAACTGTGCATGCTTGAACCCTTGCCTGAGAACCACTTTCTCACTAACGTTCATTTCTGTTCTGTGCAGGGGGACCTAATACGAGAGTACGAAGCCATTGACAAAGAAACGCCTACTCCAACTGACAGACAGGTATGACTATGCCTGCACAGGTTAATAATGTAATCTGTATGTAATTTTTGTGGAAATTGTTGCAGATAGAAGTGGACATTCCCAGATGTCATCAATATGATGAGCTCTTGTCATCCCCCACTGCTCATGCCAAGTTCAAGCGCCTTCTGAAGGCTTGGGTTGTAAGCCATCCGCACTACGTTTACTGGCAAGGCTTGGATTCATTGTGCGCACCATTTCTACGTCTGAATTTCAATGACGAAGGTGATTATGCTTGGACACGGACCCTTAAATGCGTCTTGTGAAAATTCCTAAACAAACGTTGTGGGTTCAAGTCGACGTTTTTGACTAGTTGACTTGTCTTATTTAAGGCTAAATCACATATGACATGATGCCAACAGGCAGAAAAAGAGAGTTCCACACTCGCCATCATGGCTACTAGCAGCACTGACTAACCCTCCCAGGTTCAAATGCACTCCCCATAAACTGGGTGGGGGATAGCCGCCATGGTAGCTCAGTTGGTAGAGCATCGGAAGCGTTAATTGAAGGTCGCATTGGTTCCTACCAGTGCCAAGTTATGTTTTTGTTTACTTTTCCTTCTTCACATTCAGGTTACAGCTACTGCTGATAACATCCCCTGTACTTTCCTTGGCATCATTTTCTATTAGTTTTCATAATATTGGGTAATTGAGAAAACTAGCCTTTAAATATCCACAAACCTTGAACTAGACATGTCCACTTGTTAAAATGTCCGTTTGAGTACACAACCCGTTTCCTGGTCTTTCCATCACAAGCTTCCATCTTGCTGTTCCTGCCATCACGTGAGTCTTGTTTGCTGCAGCTTCTGCGTATGCGTGCTTGTCCACATTCATCTCGAGGTACCTTTACGACTTCTTTCTTCAAGACAACTCCCAAGTTATCAAAGGCAAGAAATGCTCGACTTTTCTTCAGTGGCCCTTTATAACGAGTATGCTTTCTTGCAGAGTACCTGGCTGTATTTTCTCATTTGGTTGCCTTTCATGATCCAGAGCTGACAAACCATTTGGATAGTATTGGATTTCTTCCTGAGGTAGGCCCCTTGTTAGCATCCTCGATAGCTTTGAAAGTTTCCTTTCTCTTGCAGCTCTACTCCATTCCTTGGTTTTTGACCATGTACACACGTAAGTTTTGCTTGCTAGGTTATTTGAGCCAGCCAAGTGACCTATTGGTTTCCAAACAGATGTGTTTCCCTTGCACAAGATATTCCACCTTTGGGACACGCTCCTGCTCGGCCGAGACAGCTTCCCACTCTGTGTGGGCGTGGCCATTCTGCAGCAGCTTCGTGCAGATCTGCTATCGTTTGGCTTCAATGAGTGTATTTTGCTCTTCTCAGACATGCCTGGTAAGCGGTCATCCCTTTTTTGGGCAAAATCGATGTGTGTTTACCAGAGTACTGATGGGTTTGGGTATCTTAGGGTATCTACTGCCAATCTTTAAAACCTGAAAAACCTGGCAAGGTCATGGAGACTGAGAGCAAGCAGCCTGTGCGACCATATTGAAAATAGACATTACCGTTCATTACTTCTTAAAAAAGGTGCTCCTTTGGCTGCAACTACAGTGATTCACTAAACAGAAGCTAAAAAAAAAAAAAAAACTTGGGCAGTGCATAACCATTGCTTCTACAGATCACCCAGCCTGACCCACTTTCCAAGCGCAACATTGCTCATGTCGATCAGTTTGTGCATGTTTGTTTTGGCCACAATCTCAGGTTAGGCTAGAAGGGCCATAAGCAGAGGCTTGCCATGCAATGCAAGGGCAAACATTTTCAGCTAGAGCTATAACTGATAGCTCGCGTTTCAAGTGTAGTGAGGGGCAACTGCAGTGAAAATTATTATTTTGAATTTTCAAAAATAGGTAATTAAATATTTGATTTCTCTTTAGTATCATGTCTATAGCACATTACATAAACAAAGGGAGCACGGTGTCGTCAGAGATTAATCTACGGAATCCAGGAAGCTGTGGCCTCCTCCTCATACAACCATGTTGCTGCCCCACCGACTGTTGCGGACGGACAGAATCCTCCGGGCTGCCACATGTTCGTCAGCATTCTAAACGCAACCCCCAGCTTTCTTTCAGCTTTCACCAGAAGCATCAGAGCAATTGCACACTAAGCGTCGGAGCCCATAAAAATAAAATGCGAACATAAGTTCCCACCGGGTGAAAAAACTGCCTGACCGACATGGAACGCACAGCACTGTCACAACAAAATTTGAATAAGAAGCCTTTTTAGAGCCTTTTTTATACATTCTTTTGGGTTACTACTAGAACTACACTTGCAGGGTACCCGCTACGCCATAAATAATATTTTTATGTTGTAGGCAGGCATCCACTATGCCATTCTTCGTCATTCTTCGGAGAACTGTAGTTACCACTACACACTAGGAATTTTGTGCAATTTTTTTATGCTATAGCTAGTGACGATGAAGAATTATGACTAATGCTATATTAATGGGTTGAACTAGCAATAAACTTTGGCTAGTTGGTGGTTCGTCATCAAGTAGAAAAAAACAATGCTTCAAATGCATGAGGACCAAAATAAAGACACAACATTGTGTCTTCATTTTTGTTCTTGTTCATTTTTGGTGCTGTTTTTTTCTACCTAATGATGTAATGGATTGAAGAATTCGATGGCCCACTTGTTACATGATTCACATTGTGTGTTGTCTGGTTGTTTCTTGGCTGTTTTAAAATGCTTCATTACACACAATAACTCTTTTATTACGATGCGATAACAGTTATTTTTCATGTCTTGGAAAGATAGTTTTTGCTAGTTTGGAAAGTATCCTAGTACGCTTTGTAGCATACCAAATTTTGCACAATGAAATGCTCTTTCCAAAAAATGTGTGCTGTAGAGCAATAAAAATATTTTAAGATGAATTAATATCTGAGAAGTATGTAATTTGTGGTTATCAGCTGGTAAACAGAACAGTAAAAAAGGAAGAAAATTCAGAATATACATTTTGCAGGTAAATGACCCAGGAACCGTATAGAAACTAATCAATCTTGTGCAAAAATGTTTCTATTTACATAGACAAAGAAAATCGGAACCGAGGTGCTACTTCATTGCTCGTGCTATGTGGTAAAGCATAGCTTGGTTTTCGTAAAACATAATTGAACTAGTACACTTTTCTCAGTAGTTTTTTGGGGGGTTTTTTTGCCATAAGAGCCTGCTGGTGTTTCAGTATAGATCGATGCCCGTGATGTGAATAATTCATCTATAAAGCAGATGTTCACTGGACTACTATATCATCGTGCGTAGCCTTTTTACATGAGCCACCTCACTCTGCATAGGTTGATGTTCCAATATATGCATCCAAGCATTTTTTTTTTGTATTTTCGCATACTTTATTGAAAAAGTTAGCACTATCGTGCACAGTTCTAAAACGTTTTGCGCTGCTCTATAGTCAGGACCAAGATGTGATCCGGTGGCCTTGTTGTAAGAAGAAGCTCTGCAGTCTGCGCCAGCGCAACATGCCTCAGCGGCGTGTGGACCTCACACGTAACCAGAGGAGCTGTAAGATTGTGCACAAAGGTCAGCAGCTAAGCACTTGTAGCGGAGGAGGCGACTTGAGGCCGTAAACTAAACAAACCCATGAACGACTGCTGATGTATCAGGCTGACGCAAAGCATCGTCGCCATAAAACTTGAAGCTGAGGTGCTGTTATCATTAGACTAAGCTCATTCTCACTCAATTCAAGTGTAGTTGCTAGGCACTTTTGAGCGCTGCTCCTTTCTGTGCAGCGCAGGTGCGCACTCATGCATGTGTGACGACAATGCCATAGGAGTGAATAACACTAGATGTGGTTCTTAGGTGTGATTACAGTACAAGTGAAACCAAAGCTGCTGGAAGCTGGCTGAGGTCACCTCCACACTTTAGACATGCAGCGGACCTTCAGAAGTATTTTTTTGTAGAAGAAATTTTTCCTGACTTCTAGCAACAGTTCTGTATTAAATAGCTGGCATAAATTTCTGGCAAATATTGCTCAACACTGTCAGGTTGGGAACCTGACCGCATAGTTTGATATTTGACTTGCAAAGGTTCTTTTCATTACAGGACTTCGATGTTACTGTAGCATAAGCACGAGGGGCACGAATTTGTCAAGTTCGCTATTCTAGTGCATTTTCCCATCAATACACACGCATTAGTTCGCACAAAGGTCTCTGAAAAATCACTATGTTGCCAAAACGGGCAAATTCAAATTGATTCTAAATGTCAAGTGGCTGAATCAACTACTAGAACGAGTTGGGTACACTTGAAAAAACTCAGCATGTCAAAATCTACGATCAGTGGTGATCGATTTGAATAGGTGTGGTAATGAAAGAGTTAACACGATTCCTTTCTTAACATCAGGCCTTCCTAGGGTGAGTTTGCAATGAAGTTCAAGCACCAAAGTAGCTCAGTGGTAGAATACTGAGCTGGCACGCAGGGAACTCAGCTCCGGATCCCAGTATTTCCTCAGTGTTTTTTATTTACTTTTATTTTTTTATTTATTTACAGAGTTCCTGCAACGCCATACTGGCATTACTGCAGGAGAGTTTACACACAAAATTTAATGTGGTTACTAACATTTCTGTGAATAGTGACGCTTTAAACATTCTGGAAAATAAAACAACATATAATAATTACAGCATGCAGTCAAAAAATATTTTAGTACAATATGACATGTGGCAAGCAGGTACTGAAAGTGAATAGGCATGTCACGATGTCACAACGATGAAAAAAAAGATCTGTTGTCACTCAAGTTTACGATATCTTCGGGAAGTTCGTTCCAGTCTCTAATTGTTTTTAATATGAAGGAGTTAGCAAAGTTGTTGTTTTGAATGCGTATTCTCGTATTTTATGTGTGTGTTGGCATCTTGTGGAACGATATATTGGTGCTAGTAGGTATTGTGGATTCTCAATTCCTGTTAGGTTATAGTGTATACTATGCAGAAGTTTTATTCCAAGTTTCCGTCTTCTAGATTGTAGAGTTTCCCAGCCTAATGTGGTCTTTATATCTGATATACTAGCAAATGGGTCGTAATTTTTGCTGACGAAACGGGCTGCCTGGTTTTGAATTTTTTCTATTGTTTCTGCAAGATACTTTTGAGCCGGGTCCTAGATAACACAAGCATATTCAAGTATAGACCTTACATGCAGGAAGTAGAGTTTCCTTTACCTCTTTTGTTGCACAATGAAAGTTTCTGCAAATAAAAAACATTTTACTAGCTTTTAAGATCATTTGGTTTATGTGCCTGTTTCAATAAAATGATTCTGTTAAATAAATTACTAAATATTTACACTCAGGTACTTTTTTAACTGGCTTTCATCAATACTGTATGTGTGCTGGATTTATGAAAGTTTTTTGCAAACCTGACGTGGTTACACTTTGAGACATTTAAGCACATATTCCACGTGGAGCACCAACGTGTTACTGTGTCTAAGTCATCTTGCAATAATTCAGTGTCTGCGATTTAAGTGATGCGATCGTAGATGATGGAATCATCTGCGAATAATTTTCTGCTAGATTTTGTGTTATCTGCTATATCATTTATGTAAATCAAGAATAACTGCAGACCCAGTACACTACCTTGTGACACACCTGGAGTCACGTTTAAATACGAAGACATTTTAGAATTGAAGACAACGCACTGTTTACGACCACTTAAGTGATTCCAGAGCCAGGTTTGCAGGTTGGCATTAATATTCATTGAAGCAGTTTAATTTGTAGCAGATTATGCGAGACCATATCAAATGCTTTGCAGAAATCGAGAAACAGTGCATCGACAATGTTGTTCCGATCAAGCGCAAACAATATTTCGTGCTGAAATAAAGTTGGTTGGGTCACGCGTGAACGACCCTGGTGAAATCCATGCTGGGAGTGAATGAAAAAAATGAGTAGATTCGAGATATTTGAACAATGCGCTCTAAATAATGTGTCCTAGCAATTTGCAACAGGTTGAAATCAAAGATATGGGACGATAATTTTGTACTTGTTTTTTGCTTCCTGCCTTGTGCACACAGGAACCACATTTGCTGTTTTCCAATGCCCTGGAATCACACCGGTGTCTATAGACAACTTGTACTTTATGCATAAATATTGTGCAATAATATTGTGACAATATTAAGTACATGAGATAATATACCATCAGGCCCCGTAGCCTTGGAGGTGTCAAGAGTACGCAGGAGACTATCCAAACCACTGTAGTCGATTTCAATTTCCGTCATTTCATTACCAATATTTTTAGAAGATAATACTGGTGAGTGTTCTGTCCTTGTTGAATACTCTGACTGAAAGTAGGCGTTGAATGGTTCAGCTTTTTCCGTTATAGTTTTTTCCTCAGTTAAGAGATCAGGGATAGCTGTGTCGTCTTTTCTGTTGTTCTTGACGTTTTTCCTAAAGAATTTTGGATTGTGCTTCAGATCTCTGTTTAGCTTCTCGAAGAAGACGAATTTCGCCTGTTTCAATTTTAACTTAACCTTATTGTTTACACTTTTCAGCTTTGTTTCATTTACTGCTATTTTGTTTTTAAGGAACTTTTTGTGGGCATTACCTGCTTTTCTAACAAATTTGCGTATCTCTGAGTTGAACCAGGGTTTGTGTCTCTTTCTGCACCCTAGACACCTCCGAGGTACGTGCATATTCACCAGCTCTGTAATCTTGTGATGGAAAATTTGCCACAATTCACTTGTGCCACATGACTCCGATATGCATAAAAAAGTGGGATAATACAAGACCAGCACTTCAGAAATAGCGTCAAAGTCTCCTGTGTCATACATGAAAACATTGCGAGGGGGTCGCTTATATGCAGGTATTCTAGAAACGTTTAATTCCGCAACAACAGAACTATGATCACTAATTGCTGGACATACATTTCTGGGAACAATAATGTTTTCATCATTGCTTAGTAAAAGATCCAGTGATGCGTTAAACTGTGTTGGTTCGTTCACATATTGCTGTAGTCCGTAGACGCGCATGAGTTATGAAAAGACAGAACAATTCGGAGTTTTCTGTGGGGGTACATAATCGCAATCTCATTTCATATCAGGCAGATTGAAATCCCCTCCCAGTATTACGCATTCAGTTATTTGTGATAACATGTCCGAAAGCTGAAGTAATGCTTTACTGTTATGGTCTGATGGGCGGTTAAATGATCTAAAAACGTTGCTGTTTCCCTGTGGAAATGGAACGCTGCACCATACTGATTCAGTTTTATAATGAAAAACAACTGCTTCACAAGGAAGGCTACTTGAAATTAATTGGTTTTTTTTTTTATTTTGCGCGATACTGGTTATGGGCTGTGGTGGCAGACAACTATGATGCAATCACCCTTGTTGTGATCTCATAAAATCTTTCACTGTAGCACGGTTCAGTCTTACCGGTGTTGTCCTTGGTCATTGTCTGGGCAAGGTCCATAAAATATGCGAATAGAAGTTTTGCTTTTTTTACTGACAAGTGTATTTTGAGGGTGTGCAATTTAGGCAGGGACACAAATCACTAGTAAAGTATATACAATAATCTAGGTCGAATGAGATACAATTTAATTCAATCCACATTCTAAGCTGCCTGGGCCACAGCCATATTGTCATTCTTAATGCGTATCATGCGCACCACTTGCAGTGGTGCGCATGATACGATGAAGAAGTGTTCATTTATCTCTGATTGTGTGAATGCACGAATATTCCAACATGCATTATGCATTAGAGCAGTGCTGAATGATGCAAATAAGGGCTGAGTGTGCAGCATGCCAGAGGACTTATCTCGTTTATCAATATGGGCATCACTGCTGTCTTCAGTTAAGCTGTGAACAAGAAAAATCTAGCTGCTGTGAACTTGTGACAAAGTGCTTCCCAAACAAATATCCACGCTTTTTTTAGTGCTGAACCCAAGCTATTGTGTTCTGTGACTGCGACGAGTGAATGTATATGTGCTGTGCCAAGCATGCATACTGAAAGTGTGCCTGCTAAGCCAGTGGCTATTGCACCTGATGGTAAGGAATCTTTAAATTCTGTTCTAGTCATAAATGTGTCACAGAAGCAGAAATTGTGTGGGGTCGGAGCACTATAGCGACCGATGCATTTTCTTTTTACCGCCTGATGGTTTGTTTCGAATGCACAGAGTTTTTCAAGTTGCTGTAATGGTCATGGAACTTCCTTTGAATCATTATGGAGAACCTGGAAAATTAAGGATTACAATAAATTCCAGACACTCTGCATAATCCCATAAAGTATCTCAAAGCAGGTGCCTAACATAATGTCCAAACAGCCAGTGCTGCTCGAAAACATTAAAGCTTCCACTGTCTCTGTGACTGAGATAGTAATACAGCGTTGTGTTAGAAGTGTTTGGCACCATGTACATTTTTACCCAAGTTTTTGATGTAATCACGAGTGTTATTATCACGCCTGTGCGCAAGCTGTGGGTTTACAGCGAGGCAGGCACAAGAATGCACAAAAATATGCCTGTCAAATAATAATGTCAGAATTTACAAAACATACAGGCATAAAAAGCCTTGATGAGAAACATTTAGAACCCAAATACAAAACATGAGCCTAGTTTGCGCATAGACAAAACAAAAAGCGTGAATGATACATGAGCATGACTATCTATAAAAAGTTCATTCCTGCAGCAACATGACTGACACCAGAAAAATTTTAGAGCTGCTGTTGTGAGCAAAATAAAAAAAATTCTTGACTGCACAATCATACAAAGTAAAGGAGTGAGCCAACAAATGAAAACAGAGTAAGTTGAATGAACAGGATAAAGGGTTTTGTCAAAGGCACCTTGTCATTCTTGGCTTGTTAGCTGTTGACAAGTCCTATGGTACCAGTACTTAGATCTGGAAAGGATACGAGCATGGCTCTTTGTAGCTACCCGAGTTTTCTTTTCAACTTTGTTTCAAGCTGTTCAGTGCATTTCTGTGCATTGTTAGGCACTTGTTTCAAGCTGTTCAGTGCATTTCTGTGCATTGTTAGGCACTTCCTGTCCCATTTGATTCTGCACACCCTGTGGTAGCACTCATCCCACGATTTGCTTTGTGTCCCACAGAGATAGATATACAGCGGTGTGTCGAGGATTCTATCCGTATCTTCTGCACTACGCCACAGAGCTCCACATTCAGAGCTCATGCAAGTCCCAGCGGCCAGCCCCAAGAGCCACTCGTAAGCAGCCTCAGTTACTCCTTGATGCTTATTTACATTTATTTGTTCAGGTTAAAGAGTGGGTATGCAAAGCTGCTTGAGCTACTCGGCTGCTAACCCGCAGGTCGAGGGATCAAATCCCGGCTGCGGCGGCTGCATTTTCGATGGAGGCAAAAATACTGTAGGCCCGTGTGCTCAGATTTGGGTGCACGCTAAAGAACCCCAGGTGGTCGAAATTTCCGGAGCTCGCCATTACGGCGTTTCTCATAATCATATGGTGGTTTTGAGATAATAGCGAAGTTGGGCTAGTTGGTGGTTCATACTTGGGAAATAAAAACAGCGCAAAAATATAGACAAGGACAGAGGAAGAGACGACACAGCACTGTGTCTTCTCTTCCTCTGTCGTCTCTTCCTCTGTCCTTGTCTATATTTTTGCGCTGAAATGTTGTAGGCCCGTGTGCTCAGATTTGGGTGCACGTTAAAGAACCCCAGGTGGTCGAAATTTCCGGAGCCCTCCACTACGGCGTCTCTCATAATCATATGGTGGTTTTGGGACGTTAAACCCCACAAATCAAATCAATATTTTTGCGCTGTTTTTATTTCCCAAGTGGTTTTGGGACGTTAAACCCCACATATCAATCAATCAAAGCTGTTTGAGCACTTTCTATTACAATGTGTGCTTTGCTCGTTCTTGCTCCATTCATCGGTACTACCAGACACACAGAAAGATCTTGCCGAAGTAGGTAGTAGGTTCTCAGGGCATGCAATAAGACAAATGGGCAAGAGGATAAAATAAAACAAAACACTGTTCATTGCTGCAATAGCTATAGCATGATCAAAGACTGAAGGGGTAGTTCACAACGAGAAACGTGTGGTAGCTCCACTACTATGAAACCTGAGAAACACGGCCATGCCCCATTGCCACTATTCGTGGTTCGCACACACGATGTGCGACGTATACTCTACTTTTTTGCTGCGCTTTATTGATTTAAGACAATTGAGATAAGCGTCATCTGCTGCATCAGGTTGTTATCCCCCTTCAGATCCTGTGATACAGTGCCAGTGAAGCATAGGGAGAGGCATTCGCTTGCTTGGCAAGGTGCCAAGCCGCAGTCAGCATCAACTTTTCAAAACCTCTATAGGTAATTATTACAACTATTTATTAACTGTAACAATTGCTGATTAGTTATCTCTGTTAAATATATTATTCTAGAGCATTCATTTAAACTTGTTTTTGCACATTGCTAGCCTTTTTATGGCCTGCATTGAGCGCTTTACTTTGAGCATGACCACACCACATGAGATGCGGGGATGAACGACTTGCTGAACCCCTCTGCACTTGAATAGTTCAATGCAGTTAAACCTGGATATAACAAAATCGACAAATTGCCAGATAACTTTGTTATAAAAAATTTTGTTATGTATATATTTGGTACAAAAATTCAAAAAATAAACGCACAATTTGAACAAAAGGAGAACTAAAGGCAGAGCTAACCCAAAACACCTGTATAGCGGTGAAAAACTGCGTTGTTATTGTAATAGAGATTATGTGGAGACTCTTAATGAGTGTTGGTGTGCCGCCATGTCCTATAACATGCCCTCGCACATCGTAACTTTTATGAGTGGGTAAAAACGCGTGAGCTCTGGTGCAGCAGAGATAAAATAAGCAGGCCCATCTCTCTTGCCTGGTGGGTACATACAATAACATCCCCCTGCTTGTTAGAACTACTTTAGAATGCTCAAGCAGTAGAGAAATTGCCCGCTTTGAGCTAGCATGAAAAAAATCCCGGGGGGAGGGGGGGAGTACTCCCTCGAGTAGCATCGGTCATGGCCTCCGAAATGGCAGATGCACAGTACATTTCTCTCTGGCCAGCCCTATCGCTGCGCTCGCCAGCAAAACCAGTGAGTATCACTTTGCGCGCCCGGCTACCGTAAGAGGGCGCATTGAGTGAGGCTTCCTGCGGCGGCTGAGACAATGGCATCCTGCAGAGCACACGGGATCCCAGCGTGCACATGGCTTTTTTTTTTTTTTTTCGCCTATGAGCAAGAATCACCGCCAGGATCTTCTGGCTGAACTGAAGGAAAGTATTTTGGGGGGGTACTGCATTGATTTTGGTCCAATTTCCAAAGAAAAGCATAGCAACTGCTACATTTTCCTTATAGTTAATTCTAAGGAGGCATCAATTCGTCTGTGATAGTATTACTTTTTTTTCATTACGGTCCGTTTGTTCTCGGCACTAAATACCTTGATATGAGAAATATAGACACATTCTTGTATTTTTCCTTTTCTCTGGAGGCTTGTATGTGGAAAAACTGGACTAATTATCGTCGTTGCATCGTATTGCTCTTCTATTCTGACTCATAACTTTACTATTATATTGCGTACGGATATTTAAGATGTGTTCAACCGAAGCGCAGTTACGCTCAAGATAACTCGGTCCTGGGTCATGTCATTGAAATAACGTACATGCAAAGCAATTTGGCGGGAATATTGTATAAGGCTTCGATTAGCCGACCTACATTCACTCCCCACGTCTTTCACATTAATAGCGCCTGAATTGTCATTGTCTCCTTTTTCGTAATCTGAATTTTAATTATGTTTCGGTAGCATAATGGCAATATCAGTGTCGTGTTCACCTACTGTATTCTCAACTGCATCCAAATCAAAGGGTCACACATGTAGCATAACAGCATATTTCTAATGAAAGTTAAGTATTCACCGAGGTAGGCTACTAAAGAAAGAAAAAAGCAAAATGTCACTGCAATACCTCAGTGTTTCATAACAGGTACATCAAACACTGAACGCATGTTGCGTACTAGTTGAACAAGCAAAACATTTTAATGTTCGTTCTTACATTGCCCAATGTATCCACTGAACACTGTAAAATTCAGTGTAAATAGGTGACCATAAGTGACAAAAACGTGCCTGTAACCAGCCCGTAGTCGTCGCAGAACCAGCAACATTCACTCTAGACATGGTCTAGATTTATGGTGACTGCCTGCCTTTTCATCCCTGTGTGCTGTTTCTGCGGCTCGATGGGAGAATTATCGAAACGGCGTTACAATGAAAAGCAGCGCCTGTTTTATGAAAGAAAAGAAAGAACAACCCCTTTCATTGAGTGTAACTTGTGAGTGTAAAACGCGGCACTCATCTGACTTCGCTTGTTGATCGGGTTGTCATTTTTTTTCTTCGCCACTGCCCTCCATACTATACAGCCTGCATACTTCAAAGTACAGTAAGTTTCCAGCACATGAGGATCTCTTTCAGAGGCATCGCAATTATAAGTACCCTAATATGGGCGGCACAAATCCAGCAAAAAAAGCCCATTTGATAATATTGTAGTGGAGCATACACACCAACGCGTATGCGCCTTCGGAAGACAAAGAAAAGCCCGTGTTCTGATTGCGCGAGAACCTGTGCCGCCTTTGCCAGACTTGCTGTTCGCCCATTTTCCGTCGGGACCTCGTTGCCACTCCTCTGTTCGAATAAACATCATCGAATTTAGTGGAGGCTGCTGCTGCTGAAATCCCTAAGCAGATCTGGAGCTCCGCTCTCGCAAGTTGGCCGAAAGACCACTGTACAACATGACTGACGCAGTCGCCAACCAGCCCATCCCAGCACAGCCAGCACCATCGGCTGCCCCGTCGACCTGCCCCGGTGCTACCCGTCAGCGGGACCCACCAATCTTCAGCGACAGTGGTGAGCAAGACGTCAAAGACTGGCTCTCCTTGTACGAACGCGTGAGTGCCAGCAACAAATGGGACAACGACTCTAAGCTTGCCTATGTTATCTTTTACTTGGCTGACGTCGCCAAGCTATGGTTCACCAACCGCGAAACCGCCATCGCCAGCTGGTCCACCTTTAAGACCCTCGTGACCGAAGCGTTCGGCCGACCAGAGGCCCGCAAACTTCGCGCTGACCAGCGTCTGCGCCACCGAGCCCAGCAGCCTGGCGAGACCTTTACTAGCTATATTGAGGATGTGCTCGACCTCTGCAGGCGTGTCAACTCATCCATGCCTGAAGAAGAGAAAATTCGACATATTCTCAAAGGCATCGAGGATGGCGCATTCCAGATGTTGCTGGCGAAAAGCCCGACCACGGTGGCAGTCCTCGTAAGCCTGTGCCAGAGCTTCATGAATTGCGTCGTCAGCGTTCCATCGCCCGACAGAGTGTCCTGTCCCATCACCAGATTCGATCTCGGCCGTCGCACTCGCAAATGGAAACGTTCACCAAGAAACTCTGTCGAACCAGATTAAAGACTTCATCAGGGAGGAAGTCGCCCGACAGCTCTCCCTGCTGCCGCATAGCGACGCGCCCACGACAAACCTCCCTTCGAATATGCAGCAGGCCATACGCACTGAAATTTGCAATGCCCTTCCTACAGTTCCGGCCTCTTACCCATGCACTTCGGTGCCATCTGATCTCTCAACTGCTGGCTACGCACCAACTGCGCCGCCTTCACCTCTCAGCTACGCAGCTGTGGTCGCGCGGCCCCCACCGCATCCAGTCGCCTTATCGGCTCCACCTGCTCCGGCCTCGCCTCCAGTTTACAGGCCCCCACCTCGCTTTTTCCGTCCATCTGATGAGTGGCACACCCGAGACAATCGTCCCATCTGCTTCGCGTGTGGCATCGCTGGCCACATTGCACGCTTCTGCCACCGCCGTTCCACACCTGCGCACGCATACTTCGGAGCTCCTACCTACGCACCGCAGCAGACCACCACGTCTGCATATGAACAGAGGTACTCCGACTCGGATCGCCACCCGTTGACTACTCGTTTCCCATCACCTCGTCGCCGATCGCCATCGCCTATGCGTCGTCGACCACCTCCTGAGGAGGGAAACTAATCAGTGCAGTTCCGGAAGCAAGAACTGCACCTTGTGCGCAATTCCCAAGGCCTCCATTTTCGCCGCAAAATGTTGTTGATGTCGATGTTGAGGGAGTCGCCACATTAGCGTTAATTGATACCGGGGCCGCCGTTTCTGTGATGAAAGCAAAATTTTGTAGGAAACTGAAGAA